AAACGGTCCTAATGCGTGACGGTCTCAATGAAGAGGAAAGAAATTTTCATTTAACGTGTCATTTACATTGCAGTAGTAATTTTCAGTAATTTTCAAATTGTTTTATTTCATTTTTCATAAAAGATGAACTTACTTGATTCGCACCGCCCTGAGATTGCGCCTGCGCGTTTGGAGAGTGCAGAAGTTCGTGCTTTTCGAGTTGATCGCGAGTTTGGAATGTCGCCGTGCACTGCATGCATTGATAGTGTCCCGCTGAGCTATCGCCAAGTGTAGAACTGGGGCTCGAGGTGGAACGTGCACCGTCTAAGTCATATAAACTGGAACTGTTACCGGCATTATGAGATAAATGATGCACATTGTGTTGGTGCTGACCATTCGCTAGTGCTAGTAGTTGGCTTGTTGGTGATGTCCGCGACGAGGTGGACGATGACGACGCTGAGCCACCATTTGAACACGCACCATTTTGTGCTGTTTGCATTGCCAGAGCAGCCATAAACTGCACAGGATGCAAATTAGCTGGTAAGTGTGATGGCAGTTGATGATGTTGCATGGCTGCTGCTGCTGCTGCAGCGGATGTGTGATGATTGTGGTGTGCTGCGTATGGTGTGGTTGCGCTGAGATCAGGTGCAGATGAGAGTATTGGTAATGGTGACAATGATGAAGCAGTAGTTGATGCATGCACCGGCGGCGTTGCTAAAGTTGTTGGTATCATGTTAGAATATGACGACAGACTTGGAGAGTTTTGAGATGTTCTGTCGTTATCGTTGTTTTGAATACTATTATTGTTTTTGATTGTGTTATTGTTATTGTTGTTATTGTTGCTATTTTTCGTCGTGTTTACGCTGGTACTGCTCTCATTATCATCAGAGTCAATATTCACATGTGAAGTTCTATAATTCTCATAATTAAGTTTATCGTGTGGATGGTCATGGATTATATGATCACGTAATGCCTATAAAGAAACATTATTTTGATGTGGAATATGATGTGGACAATATAATCACTTTTATTGTGGATTAAAAAGTGTTCAAGATATTTACCTCGACACCACTTAGACGAATTGAGCATTGTGGACATTTGATCATATAGTCAGTGTGTGGAGATGTAGCACCAACAGATGCAGACGGTCCGGTAGAGTTCTCGTCATCGGCACTGCTGCTGCTTTTTGGATTTGTTTGATGGTGATGTAAAGTGGACGCCAATGAAGGAACTAGGGGGATATAATAGCTCTTTAAATATAAAGAATATTGATTCGATTACATTTTAAATAAATATTAAATATTTTATAGAAGAGTTGAAAGGATGTCAACAATTATTAAAAAAAAAAAATAAGTAAAAACTTGTTTTCTGGTGATTCCTAAATGTTTATAAAAAAAGGAAGGTAGCCTAAATAATTTTATAAAATTTATAAAACCAATATCATGTAACTATAATTTCAAGTTTTTATGATCTCTTTTTCTAACGGAATGAAAAAGATGTACCTCTACGAAAACATAAGTTTATGTCCTATGTTATGGATTTTTTGAAAGTTAATTTTCGGCAAATAAGTTACGTGTAAGTAATAAATATTTTGCACTCAATATATAAAACTATAAGATAACTAAGATATAACTCTTATGTTAACATCAATATATGATAAAAATAATATAACGCAAAATATAAAGAAAGCTAAAATATATGACTTATCAAAAATAGATAAGTTGTGGATTTAACAAATTACGCGATAATAAAAATTTTTTTTTTGAAGAAATCATTCCCTGAAATCATTCCATTTACTCTAAATGTGAGCTTCTGCACTGGCTTTATTTTGCTTTTAATTACAATTTCATTTCATGAGTTTTAGATCCCTATTTTTAAAGTGATGACCTCATACACTCCTGCTTTGCAACAGGTTGGAAAAAAAATTTTAGTTAAATTTGCTCGTAAAGCGGAGAATATGTCTTCAATCAGATAACTTTATTCCACACAAGTACACAGCGAACACAGTCGCATGCATTGCTGTGGTTTCTTCAAAGCCACACACAAGCAAATCCACACATCTACACATCTGCAGAAAAAGTCAACTTGAACTCGAGTACAAAGTAGAAGCCTATTTCTCGTTCAACAAAGAAGGAATGAATTGAGGAAAGAAAGAGTGAAACAGAAAACAGTTTTTTTTTGGTTCAAAATGGAGTTGCTGTCTTATCAACGTTTCATGGTTCAAGGGGAATGTGTATATGTAGAAAATGTGGCGAGGTAAAATGGAAACCTTCTTGCTTAAGCTGCGTTTCAAGTCAAGCGACTCATGAATTTTAATTAAGAAGAACAATGCTGAGCTACAGTTTCTACGAAGCTGTGGAATGCTTATTCTATGTGTTGAGATACTGTAAATATCACTTTTAATAAAAATCACATTAAGAAACGTAGAAGAAAAAAACAATATATTATTCACAGATAGTCTTGGTATTAATAATATTTACAAAGGATTTGGAATTTTTTTTAAATTCTTAAAATTTTTTTTATATATATGTAAGCAGCTTGAGAAATGTAAGAACTGAGAATTGCCCGTTTCTGCAAATCTTAGTGAATGTAAATTAACAGCTTTGTATCTTTTCTTGAATATTCATTACAATAAACTTCTCTGGGGGTGATCATTTCACTTTATTTCTCCTCTGACGTGCGCTATGGATTGTTTGTATTATTGCATTTTGAGTCATTTGATCGTTACCTTAATTTACGTCAATTAATCGCTTTCGACAAATATACAGATACGAGCAGGCAAACAGACAGACGATAAAGCCAATAACAAGCAATAATGACAGCAACAATTTGGCGTACATGCGGGCACGATGATTGAGTGCATCACTCGCAGCCGAGTCAAAGTCCCCACATATTTTTAAATATTATCACATACATGCATACATACATATATATGTACATATATTGTTGTTGCCGTTTTTATTATTGATCAAAATACCTTTCAGTGAAATAATATTTTACTGGTTTCAGTGCACTTATCTCTGTCGAAGTATGTGGTTGTGTGTGTTCAGTTATGCTGTATGTAAATACAAGTAACTTGCCAGGTTGTTGCGACTTATGTAAAGTGCTGCAATATGGCACATTTAGGCATTCGTGATTAAGGCAGTGCTGCGCTTGTAGTTGTGCTACGTTTCCAATTGAACTGCTGTTTCGCTTTGGCAGTGCCGTTTCATACAAAGCAACGAAACGAATTGGAATTTAAAAGTGCACATGTGAGTGACTGTGTAGAAGCAACACAAGTAGTGAATGTATCTGCACTTCTGCACTTTTAATATAGTTTTGTACATGCCCCACATATAGATAGTATGTACTTTCATATCATGCAATCCGAATTAATAAAAGTTCGTTGCACGATTCAATTAGAGATTTTACTTTCTTCAGTGAATTGGTAGATTTCTAACAACAGACTATTGGGTAAATAATTGGATTTAGTGAAGTATACACTTACAGTCTCAAATACGGGTAACATCAATCAAGTTTCGGTAGAAGTGTGGTGGCGTACAAGGCAATTAATTAAACGGTTTTTATAAGTTTTGAATTTCTTCAAGAATTGGTGGCCAAAATTCCACTCACAATACGATGGATAGGCGGATTCGATGACGTTTGATGACGTCTTGAGAGTAATTTTGATTAAAATGATTTATGGCATTTACAGAATTTTAGATTTCTAGTGATAAAGAAACGCGTTAAGGCGTTTGCTTACAGCAAAAAGCACTTAAGTAATTAAAAAATTTTGTGCTTAGCATACGAAAGCACAGAAATTTGTAACAGAATAGCGAAATGTCAAAGCAATTTGACAACTATGACTGGCTGTCAATGTGTGCGTCTGTCGTCGAGGTACTAAAATGCTGTCGCATAGATTGACAGCGAAAAGAACTGAAAAATTGGCATTAATTTAAAAACTGAAAAACCAACAGGTCCAAATTTAAGTATCGGCGCGTGAAGGTGGTGCTGCTGCTAGCGCCGGAGATGTCAAGTCTCTGGTGGTCATACACCTGCCTCCGCATCACACGAGCACACCTGTTATTGTGACAGTTCTGGCAGTTTTGCATAAATTAGAAATTTATAAAAAAAAACTAAAAACTTTCAAAAATACGTTTTGGCGTGTATCTCATATTTTCATATATTCACTATATGTTTAGGCTATAATTGGAAAGGTTAATTGCTGCAACTCGAAAGCCCAGTCCGACGGATGAAGACGTTTCAAATATACATTAAATCGATCGTAAAAAATTTTATGCTTTAGAAAATTTATAAATTGTCACCTTAGAACGGCGGCAGGCATAAATTAAAAATTTTATTATCAAAATGAAACGAAAAGCAGTAAAACTTGCAAAAGCCCACATAAATCATAAAGGATTTCGCATTTCATTTTATATTTAATTAATTAGAAGCAAATTCCACTTTCCTAAAGTTTACAAATATTTAATTTTATGTTGCAACCCGCCATTAAAATTTGTTAAATTTGTTTATTTTATAAAAAATAAAATAATGAAACTAATGCTATAATACAGGTAAACAAATTGATATACTATCTATTATCTACTACTCCACTATCCGGTAATAATACGTTCATGCATATAGTTTTTTTATATGAATATATCTAAATATTATTTTTTATTAAATATTGTGATAATTATCGTTTTGATTGTTTATTTTTCTCTTTTGGCAAAAGAAACGCAAATAAAAATGAAATAAAAAATTATTAAAATTTATTAAAATGTCAAAAATATAAATAAAATACAGATTGTTTCACATTTTTTAGAAAGATGTTGTGTTTTATTGCTCGAAATGTGGTCGTTAAGGTGTCACTTTTCAATGGATTCCTTTATTTATATACATAATTCCTTTCAAATGGCACTGCTACCTCAAAATACCCCCCAATAAAAGTATTTAATGAGAAGCGAACTCTTCCGTTCCGACTATTCTTTACTCATACTTTATTAAATTCTAATCAATATGCCATTAATTCAATAAATTTTTTATTGATTTGCTGCAAAACAGTTCGTCAATTATTCAATTTTAACAATTCTTAATTAAAAATATAAATAAAATACTAAAAAACTATAAAACTTTCACATGTTCACGTGAAAATCAATTAAAATATTTACGGGCTCAGACTTGCTCATTCACATATTCACATATTTGTAGGCTTTCAATTCAAATTGATTGAACAAATGAGAGAATGACACACTTGTTGGGTATCATAAATTAAATGGAAATATATATAAAAATGATAAAAATTTAATTATACTAAAGCGTAGAATCAATGGAGTTCATTAAAAAATACATCAGCAGTGATAAAAAGTGAAATGCCTTGTCACATGAAAATATAATTTATGAACAATCCAAGCGAAAACATAATAAACTCAGATGAATTGTGTAACTGACTCATAGGAAGATTTTAGGACAGATCTCCACCATAAAACTGGACAATTTCAAATAGAAAGATTTGTAAAGACACGAAACCATTGAATATACCATTAACAAAATTTACGGTCCTCAGAGCATTGCACAATTAACCCAAATCCATTTGCGAGTGGTAGTTCTTTACTTTACTAGAAATTTAATTTACTTTACTAAATTTAAGATTAATAGAATTAAATATTTTCTAAATGAAATGTATTTTCTAATTTGTGTACACTTTATCTTACTTCTTTATTCTCGCGTCAATTGGAACTCTATACACCACAACTCTATTTAACTACAAGTATATTAACAGTAAATATATAACATATATATGTATATATATATATATATCTATATATATATATATATATATAGAGGTTATATGCCCTAGTTTTGTTTTCAGTTAAATAATAGTGCCACTGTTAAGCTTTAAAAATTTTTAGTAAATGTGAATAATTTGTCCTTATAAAAATTAAAATTAAAAAAAAATTAATTAAGAAAAGATATTCATTTTGCTATTTCATTTTTCCTGTTATGAAATTACCACTATTAAACTCAATCAGGGAGACCTCTCTGAGCTGATCATTTGGAATACCTACTTAGACGATTTCCAGAATAAGTATATATATATATATATATATATATATATATATATATAAGTATAAGTATAAGTATATATATATATAATATATATATATATATATATATATATATATATATATACTTATTCTGGAAATCGTCTAAGTAGGTATTCCAAATGATCAGCTCAGAGAGGTCTCCCTG